TAATCTGATTCAAATTTTGAATTGTCATTACCGAGGTGAGTTAGTCTATTGTTCCCCAAATTATAGAATCCAAAGAAACCCAGCAAACCATCCTTCTTCTCCCCCAATGTTTTCCCATTTTTGGTGACTTCTCCTTCAAATTCTTCCCATGTTCAGTGACATCTCAACCACTCGAAATAGCCGGAATCCACGTACCCGTCACCTCCGGCCAAGAATCTACTGTTGGATTTTTGTTGTACAGAACATATTTTCTATAAATGACTTGCTAAACCAGATATAGAGTATGAGGTAAATCGCGAAATGTGTCCCAACAAGCAAGGAAACAAGAATTTGTCCGTACACTGGTACCCGCAAATAGTCCAATTCTATATGTCATGAATCAAATCTTTACACAGCAATTATCAACAAAATTGAGACTACAAAAAGAGATTAACTAATACGGCATGATGCCTCTTAAAAGCATAAGATGTAACAACTTTTCAATTAAGGCTCTGAGCAAAACCCGACAAAAGCGTGATCCTTCACCTAACCCCACAACCTCATTCAAAAAGCATGAAAACATTTTCCAAATCTCTAAAGTTTATCGATTTCATTTTCAAGTAAGCACTACTGACTTTATATCACTGTATTTTTACCCACTTAATCTACTGTTTCATGGTGTTTTGTCTTGATTAAATGATTTCATTCAGCTGGTGTTTGATTCCCATTAAATTAAATTTCATTTTTCTTTATCATATTTTCAATCACACAATCTTCTATAATATAATATAAAACATAAATTGAATTTTTTTTTTTAATCACTCATTCTCAAAAAAAAAAAAAAAAAAAAATACTATATCACCCGGGAAAACCAATTCTCACCATTTTCCATGAAAACCAATAAAATTTCAATTTTCAAGGAAACCTACAATTCCATGGAAAAGAAAAACTATCAAACACCCTTAAAATGGAAGTTGGAATTGATTTTCCGTTTTCGAAGAAAAATTTTCATGTATCAAACATACCTAAAACTATTATACAATGAATTGGTTGGTAAAAAGTTCGAATCTAGGACTTCCAAAATGTGTGTATAAACTCTAACCAACCAAACTAGAAGAGACATTGTAAATGAAAATGAATTACTAATAATATAATCTAAAATTTTGTCTATTGCCAACCAAAAAAAAATTGGCTCCCAGCGGATCCATCACGCGAGCAGCAGGTGCTCGTTAGATATTGGATCCACACTGCTTGTAATTAGGGGTGGGCAAAAACCGACCCAACCCATCCAAACCGCCCAACCCAACCCAACCCGACCGGGTTGGGTCGGTTTTTTTGTTGTTTTTAAGTGGGTTCGATTTTTTGGCTACGTAGGTGGGTTGGGTTGGGTCGGGTTGTGGGTTAACCTATAAAAACCAACCCAACCCGCCCAACCCAACCCGAACTTAAAAAAAAAAAAAAAAAAAAAATATGCGTAGGTGACGATGCACAAACCTACCATCATCGAACCTGCAAAAAATCGGAGAAAATTTCAGATCGCCTCTATATTGTGCAAATCGCAGGAGAGGAAGAGATGAGGAGAAGACGAAGAGATGGAGAGGAAGAGAAGATGAAGAGTGAAACTGAGAGTATGATTCACAATAATGCTATACGTACAACATTGTTTGACAATGTTGCATTACAACATGACGTGGCAGCAAAAAGAAAACACGAAAAGAGAAGAAGAAATAATCTGATTCAAATTTTGAATTGTCATTACCGAGGTGAGTTAGTCTATTGTTCCCCAAATTATAGAATCCAAAGAAACCCAGCAAACCATCCTTCTTCTCCCCCAATGTTTTCCCATTTTTGGTGACTTCTCCTTCAAATTCTTCCCATGTTCAGTGACATCTCAACCACTCGAAATAGCCGGAATCCACGTACCCGTCACCTCCGGCCAAGAATCTACTGTTGGATTTTTGTTGTACAGAACATATTTTCTATAAATGACTTGCTAAACCAGATAAACTATTGCAAAACAGTAAAAACAGAATATTATTTCCAGAAAATGAATTGCACAGAATAAAAACAAAAGCATAAAGAAGTCCAGAATTCGGAATGAGGATGATCGAGGCGAGAACTAGGCTCTCTGTCCTCAAGACGTTTTTACCCCGTCACACGGTGCTTATGGTATGTGGTAAAGCGTCTCCCAAAATACAACAATCAGATACTTGCAAAAGCAGCACTTCGACTGCAAGGCAACGAACCAGAACAGAAGTACTCTCTGTAGACTATTGCAAAAAAGAAGAGTATGTATGCAGAATGATTTCGTGATGTTTCTGTGTGTTGTTTTTCATTTAAAGCCTGAGGACCATTTAAATAGAGGAGAGAGTTGACGGTTGAGCAGTTTTCATCCACTACTCGTGCCCACTTAACGCACAGTTTTAGCAAACTGATGGGTCGGTTAATAAATTATCAAAGGGAGGGAATAATTGAATTTTTTTAAATAATAATAATAATAATAATAATTTAATTAATATTAACCCAGACTCACACCCACGCACCGTTCGGCGGCGGCGCGCGCGCGTGGCCTTTGAATGAGTCTAGACATTGTCTAAGACTCCTCCCTTTCAAAGACTATTGGTACCCTTTGGTATCCAAACCCATATTCCTCTTATTTATTGTCCAACTTTCAACCATAATTTCTCATTCATATTTAAGTGGTTTTTCACAATTAAATATTCTACACTTATCTGCTCGGAACATAGAATTCAATTGAACATTAATTTCGATACATCGAACATCGGGTCCCATTTTAAATTGTGGTCAAAGTTGACCCAATTGGCCCACCACTTCCAACATCTACCCACCCGTCACCTCCGACTATCGCGTGACTGCATATTTCTTTGAGGATCGAGGATTCAAAGACCGTCTCCGACCATCACGTGAAGGAGTTCGTTCCAGATCGAAGATTCAGTCGCCGTCTCCTGCTTGTACTTACTACAATTTAATTTTTAAGGTTGAATTTAACGTTGGTAACTCCGTTCAAGATCGACGAAGGCTTCACAGATCTTCAACATCAAATCCACTGAATTTGAAAAGGTTGCCTTCACAGTAAGATTTGGTCGTTATACTTTCAATTTATTGGTGTTTTAATTTGTTTCAACGTAGAGAAATTACAATTTCAGAGAAGGTTGACTTCTGAGACTTATGAAATTTCAATGTTTTGTCGATACTGCTCATTCACTTTTGTATGAATTTAAGGTTAGACAGTGTACATTTTTGTATGACTAATTATTGAATTTCAGGATGAGTGGTAAATAACGGTATGTGACTTGTGAATATACTCAGGGGCGGACCCAGACCATTTAAACTGTGGGGTCAAAATTTTTTTTTTTTCGAACAACGAATCAT